AATTGTCTTCCACTTAAATTTGAATATGTTATTACTCATAAAGAGTGTCAGAGTGAGCAGTCTTATTCCTGTTTGATTGACATCTCAGCATTACCCCAGAGGGAGTAAGTAAGTTGTCTAAATTCACACAGTGAAAGCTAGTGGAGGTAAATGAGGTTAAGTCAGAACCCAAAAGTTTAGAGGCATTAACTCACCTTTTTAATTCAAAGATGGCTTGGGAATACTTTTTTAGTTTGTTCTTTATTTAGCTATTTTTTAGTTAATAACCTAATAAATCACCTTTATAAACTTGATCAGACCTTCTTTTAAATTTCTGACATGCCATTTGCTTGGTACTGGGTCAGGCAGCAACCAGTAGAGACCAGTAAGGTAGGTAGAGAAGGGCAAACAGAAGTATAGCCTCAGCTGTCTGGGTTTTCAGAAGCAAGAAGTGTAGTTCTGTTCACTTCCTTCAGGAGGATCAGTATAGGCAATGAAGAGGCCTTGATTTAAAGATCTGGGTCATTGAAGAGGGCGTTCTTGGACCACAGTGATGTGGTCAACTGGAACTTGCCTGGAGTTTAGGAATCTGTGTACCAGCAGGTGAATCATGGAAACTGAGAACTGGGTAGCTGTGCTGTGAGGTGTGCATGGCAGGAAGCATGGCTTTGGAGAAGTCAGACAGCAAGGCCATAGCCACTGGGTCCAGTTCCTTGTACTGCATCTGGTAGAAGCAAGGGAGCTCAGTTTTCTGGAGTAACACTCTCAGAAAGCTCCCAAGGCAGGGGCTCAGGTAGATAACTAAGACAAAAACAAAGTTCTTACAGTGAGGAAGAGCTAAGGTCTTGAGGAAAAAAAAAAAAAAAAAAAGAATCCAATTAGTCCTACTTGAGTAGACCACACTCCCCACAATCAGTGAATAAGTTGATTTCCACTACTAAAAATGGCTATAAAGAAGGTAAAGTAGAATAAAATTATAAATTTAAACACTATTTAAACACTTCCTTTTCTTCCACTTTATTCATGCTTGTGTTTACTGAAGCAGTACACAGGTCAGCTGTGCTGTTAGTGCAAGATGTGGATTTGAGAACTGAAATAAAAATTAGTTCTCACAGAAGAGCACATGCTTACTTCTCTTCCAGATGTTTTCACTGATGTTTCCCCATATTAATATTTTATTTCACTCTTGCAATATGAGGCAAAAGTTATTGTATGAAAGCCAGGCATGGGGACTCACGCCTTTAATCCCTGCACTGGGGCGGCAGAGGCAAGTGAATCTCAGTGAGATTGGGGTCAGCCTGGTCTACATAGCAAGTTACAGGCCAGCTGGGGCTCTAGAGAGACCCTGTCTCAAACAAACAAACAAACAAAAAAACCCCAAAATTGTTAGGATAAAGGTTCAGTGTGTGTGAGCAGGTGGGTGTATGTGTGTTTAGATACAGTGCTGATAATAAAGGTGATGGACTCAGGTAGTTAGAATAGCTAATTTTTAATGCCCTCACATCCTCCTTTCCACGGGGTTTTGTTTCACATTTCTTTAGGCAATTATGCTACTTGTTTGATCAATGAAGTAGCACATTGCATTTTTATATAACAAAATTCTTTTTTACAAGCTCTCTTATTTTCTTTTATAAACATTCCCTTTTATTATTATTGTATTTTAATTTATGCAGCAACTCAGCCCGTCCAAGTAATACTTTGTCAATAACTTTTCTAAAGTATTGGAATCATGCCTCATTGTATTAAAGAAATATG